ACAAGGTTGTCGTTCCCATCGTACAACCAAGGCCCGAAATGACCTAACCACCCCCAAGGAACCCACCCTATGAGGCCCGCCCTGAACCGGCGGTGGGTTTCCCTCTTATAAGTTTTACCATGGACATTCCCTGTTCCAAAAGCAGTCGTTAGAATGGCTAGAGAAACACTTCGGTGAACGTTTTGCTCACCTTAGTTGTAAGACAGTACTTAGCTTCCTGGTCAACTATAACTCAGGCCCCTGTTATGTGTTTGGTTCCTTCAAACTTGCCATAACACTACCAACGGTACGGTCCTTATTTGACACATGCGGGACTAATGCAACCAGAGCCTCGCTCTATTTCTATAACTAACCACATCCAAACTAAAGTCCACAGTCCTACTCGGTCTTCAATTATTATCCAGCACCTCAAGTCTATGTGATTGTAGTAGCAGAATAGCCATGACCTATCTCTCGCGAGTGATAGTCCATCACCCGACTTCTATCGTAGGTCCTATAGCATGGCATACTACATGATTCCTGTCATACTAGTAGGACTCATAGGATAGAACATTTATGTAGGTGGGTTTCAAGCAACTTCTGCAACTTAATGCACGAACGATAGAATAATAAGTGCTAAAAAAATAGGGGTTATGCACCGGGACTTGTCTGGGTAACTTATTAACACTAAGTTAGTTGGCTCCATCTTTGGGATGTGATCCAACCATCATCTTCAGGACTTAAGTCATCATTCATCATCTTCATGCTTGACGCCAACATCCTTGTGTTGACCCATCAATCCATCATCGTTCCTAAATGATATGCATAAATGCAATGCATGCTTAAGTCAAACAAGCATCCACATAAGCATTACGAAACTTAAAGAACAAGCAACATGTCATCACGGTGAAGGGTAACTAAACGTTGGATATTCGACTCTCATCCTCTCCTAACGACTTGTGAGTTACTATTATCAACCTAACAAAAATGAGTGAAACAACCATTTACATTTTTAAACATACAAGTAAAAGCTTATCGTAACATGCCAAACACACTTCTACTTACTAAACACACTTTGTCTAGTCATCATGTAAAACAAGTAGCATAGACAAACGTATATTAACCCTAATCTAAACACCTAACATATATAAAACTTTAAATAATTATAATTAAGAAATAAAAAGGTGGCGCACCAAACATCTCTTTTGGATATGAAAAATTTATGGGTGGTACATCTTAACTAAACATAACTATTGAATAAATTTCATAATTTCTGGATAAGCAAATTATTTACTAGCATTTAATTAATACTTAATGGTAATAAAAGCATGTGGCACAGGATAATTTAATGGCTCAGTAAATACGCATGCACTGGACCTGAAATTTTTACCAGAGCACACACACATCGGCAGCAATTTACTATAAAAATTTCATAGCAAAAGGATCAACATAACATCAGATATGAATTTATCCCTAATAAGCATAGGCAAAAATTTAGAGCAATATTTTTTTACTAAAACATACAAAATTGTACATCTACTGCATAGATCTAGTCACAGGGATTCCAAAACATCTTTATTTTCCTTTTTATGATTTTTCTACGATTTACAATAAATTTTTAAAGTTTCAACCGATTTAAACATAAAAGAAAAGGAAAACCATAAAAGACAAACACTTTGCATGGAGGAACCTGAGCTTTTCCTGAATCAACCCATAGTCTAGCAGTACTATTCATGTGAGTCACTAGATTTACATTCGAAACCCTGGAAAAGATTCTATTTAGGTGCGAGGTCCTTCTCTTCTTCTTCCTCGTCTTCACCGAGCAGAGGAGGTGCTCGGGGCGCGGCCGAGTTCGCACGATGAGCCACCGACGAGGGAGAGGGTAGTGTGCGGGGGCAGCAGCGGCCATGCCCACATGCGTGGGTGGCGATAGCTCAGCCAGGCATAGCCGGTGGTGGCCGCCAGCCACATGCTTGGCATGGCATGATGGGTGGTGGACTGACGGCGGCGGCGGCGGTCTTGTGGAGGAGGGCACGGGACGACGAGGACTGTGTGTGGCACCGGGCGAACATGGCGCACCCGGTATCGGGCACCACCACCTGTAGGGTGGGTAGGGCAGCGGGCAGCGCGGCGTCTGCGTCTGTGTCAGTAAGTGGCCCGAGCAGGGGTCGCGGTGGCTCCCAACGACGTGGGCTCCAGCGAGCGCGAGCGGGGCACAGAGGGGAGCGAGGAGGAGGCGGTGGTGCCGACTGTCGAGCGTGAAGAGGGGCAGAGCGGTGGAAGCGGCGGTGGCGGAGGGAGCTCGGAGCTGGCCATGGCGAGCGCGCTCGCGTTCCTACGGTAGGGAGCGAGGGAGAGCCAAGAGAGGGAGGGGGATGGAGCGCGAGGACGAGCAAGGTGACCTTGGCCTACAGAAGAAGGCAGGGAGAGGGAGCAGCGCGGCGTGGGCGGCCATGGCGTGCATTGTGCACGCCCAGAGCGCAGGCAGGGCATGGGCGACGGTAGTGTCCATGTGCTCGACTTGGGATGACTATGCATCAGATTCGGTCAAGCTATGGGTCCCACATCTTGTATAAAATATCTTCAACTCAAAGCAAACTCCAACTTTGCTTAAGGGACCACTGTCATTAGCACCACAGATTAGGAAATAAACATGCTCAAACTTTGGTTTGTTAGGCTGATTTCAGTGACTTAGAAAATTTCCAAGTTTCCAGAAAACCGAGTTTGATTCAAACTTTGGAGCCTTAACTGATGTATCAAACATAAAAACTAGGCGCAAGCAAGCACTCCACTACAAAGTACAAAACTTATACTAAGCTTTTCACATAGGCATATTTTAGAGTTTTATATAAAATAATTATTTATTTATCCTCTAAAAAGCTATTGAGCAATTAACATCAATTAGTGTTTCTGACATTTTTTAATCATTTACCCCACATTACCCTAAATAACTTTTGTTCATAAACTCATTTAGAATGTTTAAGCACAAAATCAAGGTTGGTTGACCTCACACACAAAGGTGATTTAAACAAACATGTACCGTATCATTTCATGCAAGAATTTATCACCAAGCATAGAAAACTTATTTATTAGGTTTTATTAAGCCTTAAACTATTGTTAAACGGGTACGTAACATCGGGGGTGTTACATTGTTCTCGTTTGTGTCTGGGGTACAAGCGGGGCGTGTGTTTCGAGGTATCCAGCTGAGATACATTGGTTCGCGAATCGCCGTTTCCGTGAGATGGTACGACTTGGCTATGATCTAGCACCGTAGTAAGAACTAGAAGATGAAATATGATAAAATGGTTCTGATTGCTCAACTCTTGCTTAAAGGTAGAACATGTGTTTACCAAGAATGATTAGCTAATAAAGCAATCATGTCTGCTAATAAAACTTGACCCTAAACACGCACTATTAGTAATACTTTTCGTAAATAAAAGAAAACAACAAACCATACTATCTATCATATCCTTGAGAGTCGGGAAAATATTCTCACTAGTCGGGTAAGTCTTGCGAGTGCATTGTGTACTCAGGGTTTATTTTACCATGTTGCAGGTGCAGCTTGAGAAGTTAGCTCTTATGTGGAGGATTCTTCTGGTGGACACAGATGGATCCATGTATCGTTTCCGCTAGATGATTATTACATTCCGCTATTTAATTATCACACTCTAAACTCTAACATTGTAATAAATAATTTCTAAGATTCTATGTTGTATGAAATGGACCAAGTATTGTAAGCTCGTACTTATTATTGGATTCTGAATGTAAAACGTGGATTGTTTCGAATTCTTCCTTTGGGTGTGCTCGACCGAACTGCCCATTTTAGCCCATTTTTGGGCGCTTAGTGTCTAAAGAAAACGAACGTCTCCGAAAGTGTGTTATTCCAGACAATTTTGCCACAATTTGCTTCTTTTTTGGGATTTTTTTCGGGACTGAAAAATGGGTGATTGAGGTCATCGTCGGCTCTCCACCACGGCCTTCAGGATGAAACTATATTTTTAGATTTTTTTCTTTTATTTCTTTTCCTCTCCTTTCATTTTCTTTCTTTCCTTTCTTCTTCCTGGATCTAATATAATTGAAGTTGTGTTTGTTGAAAATATCGTAGTTATTATCAATTTATACTAGCCTTACACTATACTTATATTAAATTATTAACCAGCCCATATATCCAAATGGTGCCTTACACTATACTTATATTAAATTTACAATGATTATTTTGGTGTAATTTATAGAGAGAATTGTTGTAGCTAGATACCTATATGAATATCCTTTGTTTTGTTTCAAGCATATGTTTCATTAATTCTGTTATATGTTTGTATGTATGTCTAGTTTTGAACCTATATGGAGATCTTTTCATCTGCATTTTATAGAAAAACATCTGCTTAGTTTGATAATATGTATCTTCTTTAATTTATTTTTTATTGATTTTGTCTACATTTTTAGTTTTAAATCATTCAGAGATCTTTCACTTTGTAATTTATAAAACATGTATGGTTAATTTGATTATCTATAATTTTAATTTGTTTATTTATTTAATTGATTTTGATCCGATGGTCATGACAATCTAGTGTTTCACGGACTAGAAACACTTGATTTCGTTTTCTATTCTCAAATGGGATGTTTAGGTGGCATCAACACTCAGGTGTCAGATGCTTATAAAGCACCCAAGTGCCGAGTAGACAACTTCTTAATCAAAGTCGAGTCAACATGCCACATTAACATATGGGAAATCAAAGTCTATTCTTGAACTAGTATCGGAACCGAGACAAGTTTAGGCAGCCAGAATAAAAAAAAAGAAAGTTTGAGATCTAAATGACACATCTTCCGAATTTCAATTTAGAGACCGCCTCAATGTTTTTACTCAAACTATGGTATATATGTTTTCTTATAAAAAGCCTATGGTAATATGTTTTCTTTGAATTCCGTACCCCTCCCTAAGTTCGTAATTAAAAACCCCCAAACAAACTGTACCCGCCATCCTCCTAAAACCCTAGCGCCTTCGTTCCCCAAGCAAGCTAGCCATGGCACCCGCCGCCGCCGCCGCCCCGCTTGACGACGCCAAGGCCAAGAATGTTATCCGCCAGGTTTGACATCTCACACAGCCTCCGATTCGTGCCGTTCCGCCCTCCAATCTATTGTGATTTCTATGATCCCAATTGAATATTTTTCCCTCTTTCGTCGCAGGTGGAGTTCTATTTTAGCGACAGCAACCTTCCCCGCGACGGGTTCCTACGCAGGACCGTCGAGGAAAGCGAGGATGGGTGTAAGAATTCTCTCGTCTTCATCTCCGATGATCTTGCTGGTTCAGGTCGCTCTGGTGCTAATTTTGTGCTGTCTCCTTTTGGGCGCGGGGCTGATTGGGCAGTGGTGAGCTTGGCTCTCATCTGTTCCTTCTCGCGGATGAGGTCACACCTAGGTCTCGAAGGGGATGTGAAACCGGATACCATGCCAGAGGAGACCGTACTTGCAGTTGCTGACGTCTTGCGCCGTTCCACAGCCCTCCGTGTATCAGAGGACGGTAAGCTCGTTATCTCTCCCTTTTCGTCCATATAAGTGTTATGCGAAATTGTTTAGGAGTATTTAGTTAAAGTTGATTTTGAATTTAGATGGTGTAGAAGCTTAATTTCATTCAGAAGAATATGGCAATGTTCCATTTCCATTTCCAGCTATGTTAAGTACAATGGCCCTTTCCTGAATTCTGATGAATGTTAGACCTAACCTTACATTATGAACTATCATCGAATCACCTGGTCACTTAATAATATGGACATTTGCTGCACGGTTCAAATGAAAAAACAAATGCTCATTTTAGTTGGATTGTAGTATGACACCAGTAATTTGGTGCTTATATCCTGTATTATTAATGTTCAATGTTGTATTTACAGGGAAGAAAGTTGGTAGGTCTAAGGAGTTGTTGAAGCCAGATGAGGTTATAGAGCAAGTGGACTCTAGGACAGTTGCTGCATCACCGCTTCCTTACAATGTAAAACTGGAGGAAGTCGAATCTTTTTTTGCTCAGTGTGGCAAGGTATGCTATATGTCTGTTAGCACTGAATGTTGCACCTAAATGTACTGCATGAACTGACATCCTTGAGGTTATGCATCAGTGGCCAATATGATAAATTGGTGTATTAGGCATTTAGGCCATTACCATTCCAATACTAGATGTTCATTAATATTGCAATGTGAATAGTAAATACTGCTAATACTATTTGTATGTGTACTATTTGCATTACAGGTAAATAGTGTGAGGCTACCTCGACATGTTTCTGACAAAAGACATTTCTGTGGCACTGCTTTAGTTGAATTTTCAGACGAAGATGAAGCAAAAGGTGTTTTTGAGAAAAATCTCGTTTTTGCTGGGGCAGACCTGCAAATAAGACCAAAGTAAACCTACTACTAGTTCAATTTATTTTCTTATTAGGTGCCATCTATTAATTAGAAAATGCTGTGTTCATGCTTTTGAGTTTCGACAATGAAGTTGTTCTTTTTATCTTGAAAATGCCCCCCTTCGCTGCATTCACTAAAGGATTGGGGAGTTTGAGCAGGTTCTCATTCACAGGCCACTGGCGCACTCCCCAAAAATATTCTCCTAGTTGTTCTATTGTTTGGTTTTGATGGGAATCTTGCTTTTATGGTTGCAGTTCTTTATGCTACAAATGTTAAGCTGTTTGTTCTGGTTGAATGATTCCAAAATGAGCTCCTATTATTTTCAGAAATTTGACTTTAGCGACTTTTGTTTTTTTACACTTTTGAGTTTACCTGTATAACAATATATATCCTGTATCCTATTATGAAATAATGTAGGAAAGAATTTGATACTGAAAGAGAGGCAAAGAAAGAAGCATTTGAAAAGTCACATCCTAATAAGAGTGGTCATGGTGAAGGGTAAATACTCTTTATCTATATATGTTTCTTATTTATGATTTCTTCGAGTTTCAATTAACATCATGATGCATCAATATTGGTTACAGCTATCCAAAAGGTCTGATTCTGGCCTTCAAGCTGAAGAAAATTGCAGTTGATGGTGAGACAGAAAAAAATGGTGGGGGCAAAGTAGATGACACTGACGTTACCAAGAATGAAGGAGCTTCCGATGCTACAGAGAAATCTAGTGTAGAGAATGAAGAGAAGATCCCTGAGAATAAAGGCAATGTGAGTGAGGAGCAGTCAGATGCCGTTGTGGAATTGAAAGGGGTATCTGCTGGGGAAACTTCACAATCTGTTGACAAGGATGATAAAAGCCCTTCAGATAATGATCAAGATACAATCTCGAGGGAGGATTTAAAAGAAGAATTTACTAAATTTGGCACAGTGCGGGTAATATATATTTACTTTTGCTTCTTTTTTCTTTTGCCCTATACCACTAGTGGTCTGTTGATCTTTCACACTTTTTATTTGCATTATGAAACTATATGATACCTGCAAGATACCCTTTTCTTGTGAGATTGTTGCATCACCATACTTTCAATATTAAACATCATGATAAAACAAGCAGATAAGTGAGGAAGTTCAAACTTTATGATTTATTAATATTAATATTGTGTTCATAGTTACATCTGCCTTTCACATTCATTTTGTAATGTGTAACATCTTCAGAACCTTAGGAAATACCAGAACAGACAGATTTCTGTTTCAATTTTCTTAATAAAAAAAGAACAGGCAAATTTCATGTTTCCTTTCATCATTTGCAATAAGCAAACACCTATTGTGGTTCGGGTTGTGAAACTATCGAGGAAAGTTTGAGTTTGGTTTATTTTACATATTTTCTGTAGGATAGGAAATATTGTGAGAATATTGTCTCGTTCATTTTTGCTTGACAGCTTCTATTGAAGTACTCATAGGCTCAAGTGGTAGGATCGTAGTTTTATAAATCACAATATCCAGTTCATCTGACTGTCAGCCATGAATCATGTTATGATTTTGTTTGATTGAGATTTTTGTTGGCTTTGCAAATATTATCTTATCTACTTTAGTTCATTTCAGTTAAATAGAGCACATAATCTGTGACCTGACAATAATAAGTATAGATCAAAACTGAATTTGATTTAGGTATTTAGCTATGCAGAGCCAGTTCAATTTTGGTATGATTTAAATTCTTACTTTAAACTGCCATTTGTATGCACATATTTGTCTTCACCAAAGGAAACATAATGCTGCATCTTGTAAGGGCATTATGCATACATATGCAATTTTGTATCTCTGTAGTGTAGCATCTAGAAGTTCTTTAAATAGAGTTTCTTTGTCACATAGCATTCTTGATACCAGACTGTCTTATTGGCCTTTTTCTTTTTCCTTCTGAAGTATGTGGACTTCAGCATTGGGGAAGATTCTGGATTCATTCGGTTTGAGGATTCCACAGCAGCTGACAAGGCCCGTGCATTTGCAGCCATTGCAGATGAAGGTGGTTTGACTATGAAAGGCCACATAGTCACTTTGGAACCCGTGTCTGGTAAAGAAACTACAGCTTCTCTCAGTTGACACTAGTTTTCTTAGTTTCCGATCTGATAGCTTCTCTCATCTGGTTTTGTAGTTAAATGTGTGACAACATGAATCTGAAATAAAATTATTTCTATCCAAATATGAGTGTTATGCTGAATCAGATTGTAAAAATACCTTGAAATTAGTTCCATTGATATTCTTCGTTCTTTTTAAATACATCTAGCCATTCATCGTTCTTTTTTAATTGTAGCCATTCATCATTTTGTTTATGTGTTATGAGCTCACCGTATCCAAATGCTATACTCAATCACTTGAATGACAGATAACTTTCCAATCATGCAGGTCAAGCCGAAAAGGATTATTGGAGTGCAATTCGAGGCGGTCAGGAGAAATATAAAGATAGCCGAAACAACAGAGGACGGTATGATCTATTTGCCATGGTTCTTTGTTGGAGTTGTTCCCAGTTCTCCCTCTGTCGGTTTTTTTTTTATTTCATGCACATTCAATTTTTAAAGAGTTTACTTGAAAAAACTGTCTGGGCTTTTTTTTATGTCTCTTGAAAAGAAAAACTTGACCAACCTCAACCTAGATGGAAATAGGCGTTTTTTCATTTAGAAGTAGGCATCCAAATTCGAGTTGAAGAGGACTCGAACCTGGGTAGTTTATATGCATGACCCCCCACCCTACCAGTTGAGCCACTTCCCACCCTACCAGTTGAGCCACTTCCGCTTTCTCTTGAATAATGTTATCATGGAACTGAATTTGCTAACAGTAATATTGACTCCCACCATCAGAACTGATCTTGTATAATTTGCATATTAGAATTAGAAATATTCTTCTGTACAATCTTGATTTGTTGGAAACTGTACTGAGGAAAACTTGCTTGTCATACAAGAGCAAAGTACTCCCTCCTTTCCAAAACTTCTTCTCTAACCTTGACCAACTTTATAGAAAAATATATTAACACCTACAGTACCAAATAAAATGTACTATCAAGACATTTCATTGTGGATTTAAAGAAACGACCTGATTTTATATACTCGCTCAAAGTTAAAGAAGTTTGACATGACAAAACGATGACTACTTGCACTTTGAAATGGAGGGAGTTGGATACACCAGCTGCATTGTTTTGTCGATTTATCCTCCAATGCCGCGTTTAGCATTGTCAAACAGTTGTCCAAAAATAATGATGATGTTCGTTTTGTGCAAACTTTCCAGAGACTGGAAGAATAACAGAGGCGGAAAGCAGTTTGGTGGTGGGAAGCGGGGGCGCCACTTCGACTCCCGTGACAGGGCCTCCAATAAAACTCAAAAAGTTTAGATGTAAGATAGATTTAGTCTATATAATGAGGAAAACATATATATGCTGCGCTGCTTCCGTGGAAGCGGCATTTTTTTATGTTTATTTGCTCTTTGTGAATGTTGGCCCGAACTTTGAAAAACGGACTATGAACCATGAGGCATTCTGATAATAATGAGAATTGAGTAGAGGAAATTTTACTGGACGTGGATATCCTCGAGAGTGGGAAGAAAAAGGAGGTCCTTTAAAGTTTATAAGCTATAGAGCTCTGAAGTCAGAACTCTGATAATTTTTTTTGCGGTAAAATAACAGCAACGATGACCCGGAAGGATCGTATACGACAACGACGACTGCAAGAACTGATGCTGGTTACATCGGTGGTAGAAGAAACACCGTCTGATGGGTCTACATCACGGTGGTAGGAGAAACTCTGATGGTGGTATGATTTCGCGTTGTGTGGCCTTTGCTTTTTTCTTGAGATGAATAGATGATGGATGTCACGGTCTGTGCTTGTTTCGCAGGGTTGCTTCTGATCTCGCTTGGTGTTTGAGACTTTTTTTTTGAGCACGCGTTGTATTTCCCACGATCTATTTTGCATGCAAGTCCACTATTTCAGAATTTTAGATTTTAGTGGATGCGGTACAGTACCATTCTGATTGTCTAATTTTGCTAGGGATTCAAATATATGTTTTCTAATATGAGAGGATAGTTTCAGCACTGTGCGTTTGTTTTACCGTGAACGAAATGCATTGACCATTTGTTTTACCGTCTGCGAAATACCTTTGGACTATGATCAATGTACCACGTTTGGACAACTATGATCAACGTACCACGTTTGGACGAAGCACGTTTGGACAACTATATGATCAGGTCCTGTTTGGAATGCAATAAATTTTTTCGGTTCTTGTGTTTTTCGTATGAAATTGAACCGTTTCATATAAAATTTCTGCATGACTCCTACGAAATTCCTGTGTACCTATGGGCTATGGTACGGTTTACGAAGTATTCCAATTTTTATTTGGTATTTTTTATTTACATGATTTTGGATTTTGACAGTTACCTATTGGCGCTGTTCGGAAAATTCGGTTAGCTGTCCGCACCGCAAAAGAAGGTCGAAATTCAGCAGCCCACGAGAGCCCAACTGCATTCAGCCTAGTTGCCACATGCCACCCCATGGGATGAATGAAGGAACCCTCTCTCGTCTCATCCGCCAGGCGCGGGCACCACCACGAACGGCGCCAGCCGCCAGGTGCCATCCACCACCTCCCCGCTCCCGCTGCTCCTCTCGCCTCGCCGCCAAAATGTTCCCCGGAAATTTTCAAATCATCTCTTCCGTGGCACGGCGCGCGGCGCGCCTCCCCGTCTTCTCCTTCCCTCGCAAGCAACAGCTTGGGCAGGCGCCAATCCCATCCCGAATTTCGGATTCAAAATCTCCCCCCAACTCCCTTCCACTCCCCTATAAATCAATCCCGCCGCTGCCCATTCTGGACTCACACAATCCCACCGAAATCCTCCAATCCCCCACCCCTCGAATCTTCCAGCCTCTCCGACGATGCCTTCCGCGCCGGCGCTTGTTCCCGCTTGCGACCTCGAGGAGCCGTTGCTGGCGGAGTCGTCGGACCGCTTCTCCATGTTCCCGATCCGGTACCCGCAGATCTGGGAGTTCTACAAGAAGGCGGTGGCGTCCTTCTGGACCGCCGAGGAGGTGGACCTCTCAGCGGACGCGCGCCACTGGGACGCCGCGCTCTCCCCCGACGAACGCCACTTCATCTCCCACGTGCTCGCCTTCTTCGCCGCCTCCGACGGCATCGTGCTGGAGAACCTCGCCTCCCGCTTCATGTCCGACGTGCAGGTGGCCGAGGCGCGCGCCTTCTACGGCTTCCAGATCGCCATCGAGAACATCCACTCGGAGATGTACTCGCTGCTGCTGGAGACCTACATCCGCGACGGCGCCGAGAAGGACCGCCTCTTCCGCGCCATCGAGACCGTCCCCGCCGTGCGCCGCAAGGCCGACTGGGCCATGCGCTGGATCGACGGCGGGGAGCGCTTCGCCGAGCGCCTCGTCGCCTTCGCCTGCGTCGAGGGCATCTTCTTCTCGGGCTCCTTCTGCGCCATCTTCTGGCTCAAGAAGCGCGGCCTCTTGCCGGGCCTCACCTTCTCCAACGAGCTCATCTCCCGCGACGAGGGCCTCCACTGCGACTTCGCCTGCCTCCTCTACGATCTCCTCCGCGGCAAGCTCGACGAGTCCCGCGTCCGCGAGATCGTCGCCGACGCCGTCGACATCGAGCGCGAGTTCGTCAGCGACGCGCTCCCCGTCGCGCTCGTCGGGATGAACGGCGCGCTCATGAGCCAGTACATCGAGTTCGTCGCCGACCGCCTGCTCATGGCGCTGGGGCACAAGAAGATGTACAACGTCGCCAACCCCTTCGACTGGATGGAGCTCATCTCGCTGCAGGGCAAGACCAACTTCTTTGAGAAGCGCGTCGGGGAGTACCAGAAGGCGTCCGTGATGTCCAGCCTCAGCGGCGGCGCTGCTGCAAACCATATCTTCAGCGTCCACGAGGACTTTTGAGTTGACATTTGTGATCGCGCGCTTAATTTATTGCTCCGATAATAGTTGAGGAACACCACACTCTTTATTAATTGGTGTCATTAAAAAAGTTTGTAATTACACATAAGCTATTAAAAAAGTTAACTGTATATATGTTCGGTTTGTTTTTCGCTGTCTGGTAGCTCTTACAGGTGGGACTGGTCAGTGAAATTGTCTATGTTACTTTGGCGGTGGAGACCGTGCTGAGTACGATTGACCGCCACTTCAGTTTTCTTGGTCTTCCCATGTGCCCCTCTTGGAGAAGAAGGGGAGCGCAGGGGAGAGTTGCGACCGTGTTATAATATTGTTAAAAAAATCGCGGCCAACTAAAGCAAGGCCCTATGCGTTCATCCAATAATAATTGAGCTCGAACGTGGCCATTGGAGCTCGGGACGTGGTCGTTGGATCTCGAGAGTTAGATTCGGAGGATACAGACCGAGCTCGGGATATATTATGTTGCCAACACGTATGCACTGTAGAAATTAGTAGATACTTACTGGCTTAGATGAAATGTCTAGTCAACAACCGGTTGTTTTAGCCTCTTCTATCAACTAAATTTTTCTCATATATTTAAATTGGCTTGAGCGCGCGGTATGAGGATGCCCATTTTAGAAAATCGATTGTAATTTATAAGAAATTGACCGAATCCTCATTTAGGACGAGTCCATGGAGGACATGTGATCTAATCGAGAAAATCGGAATTTTGCCCTTACGGAGAGTGGGTTTCGCTCAAATGCCATCAATTTTGTGGATTTCGCTGAAATGCCTTTATAAAACAAATCCAATACGCTATAATGCCATTTTGAGTTTTAAGTCTACTTTAAAAAAATTAAACCAAAATTTTATCCTCCAGTGACCATTTTGCCCTTGAGCTCGTTGACCCCTGCCCTCTCATCTCTCCCCCTCTCGTTCTCTCGCTCCCGTCGCCTCCCCTTCCTTTCTTCCTCTCCCTCTCTCTCCCGAGGTGGTGCAGCGTGGGCGGCCCCCCTCCCCTCTCCCTCCATCTCGATCTACCACTGGTCGTTTTTAAGACACCAGAGGCAAAGGAGGCATGGCCTTGCAGTCATGGAAGTCCTCATCTTTCCCCCTCTCCTCTCTCTCTCTATTTGGCGCTCATGGTGCTCTTGTGCCGGTGGGTGGGTCTCGGCGGTGTGGTTGGTACTGATATCTCAGTGCTCCGCTTCCTCTTGTATTTTGGGATTTTGCTTTTGCCTCTCTGATTCGTCCCTTTGATGACTTCGATTCGTGTTTTAGGGTTTGGCCTAGAATGCCTGTTGTTCCAATGTTTGCCTTCTGTGTTTATCTGTGAAAGGACGGCACCGATTGGCAATGACACTACCAATTTATGTTCTACGGATTGTGTCTGTGATTTTATTTTTGCAGCTTTTTTTCTCAGTTTTTTCCTCCCCCGTACTTGCTTCAATTCTTCATTTTGAGACCGATTTAGTTCGTTCTTTTTTGCTCAGATTCGTGCTATGACATGAGTTGATGTTACCCCTTAAGTGAATTTGATTGAATCGAGTCGAGCACAAAGAAATTGAACGAATTTCGTTTTTGGGAGTTTTTCGTGTTCTTGGCCGTGATCTAATTTTCCTGGAGTTTGGTTTGAAATTGGGCGATGATCTCTTAGAGTATGCTCACCAACTCCCTTGTGATGGCCTATGAAAAGTTTGGTCACGATTTGTTTTGATTTGGTCCAGTTTTTCGTCGATTTTGTGGCCGTCGATTTCCTGTTCTAGATTTCCAATTCTTTGTTTCTTCTTGCTTGTTCGTCGTGGGAGGCCGAGCAACAGGCAGCATGCTCCCAGCGCTTAGAGGATGCATCGATCCGGTGGGCACTTTCGCCCAAGTGGCGTGTCAGTGACCGGCAGGAGGAGTGCTTTCGCTTGTGGTGAGCAAAGCACCCGCTCAAGCCCCCTCTCTCCTCTCCACCGTCTCTCTCTGACCGGCGAATCAACCTCTGCTCTTTTTTCTCACCGATTCAACGAGCTCAGAGGCAAAATGGTCACTGAAGGCTGAATTTTTTTTAAGTAGACTTAAAACTCAAAAATGACATTATAACGTATTGGACTCGTTTCGTAAGGGCATTTGAACGAAACCCACAAAATTGATGCCACCCATTAGGGCAAAATTCCGATTTTCTCGATCTAACCGGGCTCATCAATCCGGTCCAGCCGCTCGACGCTGGTGGAACCCCGGCGCTGGAGGCGACGACACAGGTCACACAGCCGCCATCGGCGTACAGACCGTGCTCTGCGTGATGCATCCCGGCGCTGGGGGGACCGGCAGCCGGCAACCGGCAGCCGAGGGAGAGTTCCCCTTTCCCCAATCTTCCGGTAATCCGGTTCCCCTCGATCGAGGCGTAAAGCCACGGCAGAGCGCAAGCCGCTGTGCACGGCGGCGCTCCCGCGCCGGATCGTGGGCAAATCAG